AAGTTTTATAAAAACAATTCAAAGTGTTTATCCTACCAACTGAGTTGATCCGTCAAATTCAACCACGAACGCATCCTTGTAAGCGGCAGCCGCCAGAAGAGGAAGGCAAGCCGTGATGGCAGCTTGCGTAAAGAGGGACTTCATCCGGGGCTGAAAACGAGTGTGAGAGTCAGAGAAATGACAGCTGAGGCTGATGGCCAGGATCTTTGACAGCCAAGCACAGGACAACAGGTGATTTTGTACAAGATGCTGAGACTGACTCGTGCAACTATCACGAACCCCCTAGCGCAGGGGCCAATACGATCGCTCTCGCATATTTCTCAAGTTTTCCCATTGGTCGAACTCTAACATATTGGTTACAATTACCGGACCATCCGTAATAGGTCTCTACCCGATTTTGTGGGTACGAAGCAGTTAATATGGGATGAACTGCGCCCGAGGATTCGGGTCAGTCGGCTTATGCTTAAGGTCAAGTGCTGAATGGCATAAAGACGGACAAATGCCCTCCCATTATCCGCGCACGTCGTGCCATTTCCTCGGATACTTGAAATAGCTTATGAACCAATACCTCATGACAAGAACGACGCCTCAAAGACTGGGATCGCAAGCGTATCTCTCCAATGACTCCTCAGAGCAAACGTACCCCGGCCACGGCGCGTCCCACGGCCCCTCAGCAGTCTCATAGTCGAGGAACTGTGGCGTCGAGGTCCAGCGAAACAAGTCTTCCATCGCCGAAGCGATCCGAATTAATCGCGCCTCAGAATGTTGCCGCCCATAGATGCAAATACCAAAGGCGGCACCATATCCGCTCTGACCGATTGGTACTGAAGCGACGGGATATCCAGCATACGAAGGGATCGAGGCGCAAGCGTTATCATGGCCACCAGATGGATCGTTCGGCACCAGCAAGCCGTCAAGTTCAATCACAGTGCCGTTATCGAGGATGTACGCATGTCCGCCGTCAATGACCTCGCGAGCGGTCCTCCGGCCCCAACCGAAGGCTTTCCAGAACTCGTCGCCCAAGGTTCCATTCGTTGCGATGGCGTTGTCGTAGAAATCTTGTCCTGAAACCGTGTTGTACCACCAGGTACTGTTGCCAAGGGTGCCAGTAGTGTCGTTGTGTGCATCATTCCATGCTGCCATTTCTGCGAGACTGCTCATTCCATGTCGCTCGTCAGATTCGGGGAATGTCCAGTTTTGGAGAAATTCGCCATATGCCACGGCAAGAAGGGTGTTATAGGCGATGAGTTGGCCATATTCTTCAGGCACATCAGCTGGCTGACCAAAGCCGTACTTGTTTGCCACGTTCTCAATGTTAGGAATATCCTAGGTATCGAATTAGCTGGGGCGATGACGCAGACTGAGAGAGGGCCTACAGTGATGTTATAAATCTCTGCCCCAGCAGCTCTCAACTCATGAACGCGGCTCTCATATGCCTCGCGCTGGCCCGGCGAGTTTATGGCCTAGGATCACATAAGTCAGCGTTGTCACGATTGTGACTGTGGGAACATACGCCAATCGTGGACCAATATGGATTCCACGGGAGACCGAGTTTCATCCCTTTAAGAGAACTCTGATCGGTGACTTCAGCGGCATATCCGTTTTTGGGAAAATTTCCAAGAGCGTCAAATGTTAGATTGTCCAAACGATCGGGTCCGGCCATGATGTCGAGAAGAACTGCAACATCGCCTACCGAGCGAGCCATGGGTCCAGGCGTGTCGTGGTAGAAGCTTCCAGGGACAACACCATGGCGGGAAACCAGCCCAGGAGTAGTCTTGATAGTGTAAAGCCCCAGTAGCGCAGCAGGATGAACCAAGGAGCTTAGATGCAGGTGTCAGTATGCGAATGCTCGATTGCAGCCCGATATAGTCTGGGAAACTCACCCGTGAGTTTCAGTTCCTAAGGCAATCGTCGCCTGGTTGCTTCTTACTGAGACTGCAGAGCCACCACTACTCCCGGAAGTAGGTTGAGTAAGGTTAAAGGGGTTTCTTGTCTGCCCTACGCGAGTTGAATAGCCATCAGAGAAGTTTGTGAGCGCCCGATGGTCAGCAGCCTCTGAGAGGGCGGTGTGCCCCAGTAGAACACCACCTGCTTGGCGTATCTTGGTCACAATGGTTGCTTCAGATGAATATCTTCCATCAAGTAAAACAAGACCGCCTTCGCTCGTGTTGTGTTTGTCGTCGGTGTAGATGTTATCTTTAACCATAAATGGAATGCCATGCAACGGTCCCCTGATCCCTTTGGCACTTCGCTCATCGTCTAAGCTAGCGGCGATGGCTGGGGCGTCGGGGTTAACCTCGCTAGCCGAACGAAGGACTGCGTTTGTTTGCTCAATACGAGCTACATAGCAGCTTACTAGGTCCTGGCTTGTGAGATTTCCTAGAGTCATCCAGCGCTGAAGAGTGCCGATCGTCGCGTCTTCAATGTCGATTCCCTTGCAGAGGGGCACTATTTCAGTCCGGGTAGATTAGAATCAACACGTTTACAATACACGTACTCGGAAACGGTGGGTCCTCGCCACGCGGCTCATTGACCAGCGAACATAGAGCCCCCGTGACCAAGCTAGACGCTAGGACAGCGACTTTGACGAGCGATCCCATGCTGACAAAAGCCATTCCTCCAGCCTAACCTTGAATGAGACATCAAAAACATGACATGGCATCTAAATCTATTGGGCATGACGATGTTCTTTCAGATTTATAAGTCATCCGCCAAGTCTTCTTCAAATTTGCCGCGGGCCTTATCAATGGCCATCACCTAGATAAGTTGTCGTTGCCGATAACATCGGCCCTGGTCCGGTTCTCTCGGTGAGAGGACTGATAAGGGTGCCGGCGCGGCATTCAGGTGGGGCCGGCCATCGGAGAGTCAACAAGCTTAACCTAACTTGTGTCTAGCCAGCGGCTACAGCTGCCGTTTCCGCGTTGGTCAGGGATCTTCATCCCTCCGGTATCTGTGGAGCCCCAGAAGTCGGACATAATCCCGATTTACTATCATTGAAATGCGGAGCTTATCTGCAGTGGAGTTCTCTGGAAGGTGACACGCTTGACGCGAGAATCATGATGGCCAAAAGCCTTTCCGCGCCGTCACAAATCTCGGTCTCCCATACCAAAATTTCACAGCCTCGCGTGAGCACCTCCAAATACCAAGAATAGTCCATGGATTGGCCAAATGCCTTCCGGGATCAAATTCAGTCTCTCCCAACAGCCCACTTCGTTGCGTCCTTCAGCCATGTAAACACCATTTCTGTTCCATTCAAGACATTCCTTGCCATAAGACCCTTCTTCGGGTCTCTTTCGGGACCGGGGTCATTAAAAGTCTGCACCAGGCGCGTATTATTCTTGCCAACCTCTAGGATGGAGCCGCCCGGGACTCCATCATCCTCGGCGCACCGAAGCATTGCCTCGGCGACCTCTTCCGGAGTTACCCAACCGTCCTGGCTCTCGTCCAAGTTGATGAGCTTCTCTGGATGTTCCGTCCATAGAGGCGTACGGACAACGCCAGGCGCGACGGCATTGATGCGGACTCCATCCGTTTCCTCCAGCCGAGCTAAACTCCGGACAAAGCCGGTGATGGCGAACTTGGACGCGGAGTAAAGTGGGGCGTTGATGTTCGGCATCTGACCCGCGACGGAAGAAATGTGGACAATTCGCTTGGGGTTGCCTGGTGAGGCCTTCACAGCAGGAGGGAGCTTTGCGTCCGTGACTTCTCTTGGGTGAAGCCAGTAAGATATCGCCAGCTGCGTGGCTCGAATCGGGTGCGTGATGTTGATATCTAGCAGCTTGTATTGTCCTCCGTCGACGCTGTCTTTGCTCTCCGATGACCCTGGAGGATGCCAAAAGTTTGACCAGTGCGGCTCATATACGCCTGCTCCAGGGCAGACAATATCGAAACTTCCAAACTCGGCGAGAGTCTCGTCAAACATCCTTGAAAGCGCCGGCCATGATGTGACATCAGTCTTGACAAATATTGCCCGGGGATTGCTTTTGTGCTTCGAGACCAACTCTTCCGCCTCAGGTCTTAGAGCTAGGTCGGCAATGACGACATTGCAGCCACGCTTGAGAAGAAGCTCAGCGAAGGAAAAGTTGATACCTGCATGCGACGTCAGTGTCAACGCAGACTTGGGGTTGATGTATGATGTGACCGACCAGAGCCTGCTCCTGTAACGATCGCCGTCTTTCCAGACACGCTGTAAGGCGTGCTCTGCTTTGGAGTATTGCCAGCCATATCCTATGTTGGTGACTTTCAAAATGAGATCACAGGTTCTTGACAGTTAAAAGAATGATCTGAAAGTTTTGAGATGACTGAAACTCTAAGTTGGAGTGTCTCAACATAAAAAAAGTACCCTGAGCTGGGTTCCCCTCTCGCTCGGTTTTCTTGCCGTCCAACATCCGGAAAACTTGCCTTTTCAGATGACCCAGGGCGGGGTTCGATTTTTGTCTGTTTGAGGCTCTTATTGGACGGCCCTAAAAGACGCCTTTCGGATCCCATTTCACCGAATCGACGGGGCAGCTGAGACATATGCACGGCGAGTATCGCTCCAACGCCCCCACGATGTAGCTTGACGGGTGAGGGGAAGCTACCCCGCAACCCCGCAGCCAGACTGTTTGACCAGGATGGCCAGCGGGAAACTGTAACCCTCAAGCCTCGGAATTAACGGGCATTATCAAAACAGTAAGCGAGAAATAAAAGAGTTGGTATATTGGAATAAACCTCGGGATCTAAACGCCTTGCGAACTCCGCTGGGTATCTGGTGTCATCAGCCGTTGAACGCTCTCAACTATGGAGCTAAGCTTTCCCAGAGAAACAACAGATGATGTCGTAGAAACTCGCGCAAAAAGACCCAATGTTGACACCAATTGTTTGAAAATCGTTGCCTGATCAGGGTGCAAGTGAGCAAAGGCTGCTGTGATGCAGAATGAGCTCACCGCGACTTGGATAAAGTGGCTAGGACATATGATACTTAGTTGCCATAAAGCAGAAACGGGAGATGCATTTCGAACTCACAGGTTCATACTGGTGGTACTGGGATCCATATTGACAATGACGTTAAGAACCTCGGATGCGAATTGCGCAATGATATGCTCCGACTTGTCAAGAGAAATGTCCGTCCCCGCGTTTTGAAACAGCCGTCCGTAGGCGAAGAGAGCCATTTCAAAAAGAAACAACTTCGATGGGTAGCTGGAAACGGGACACGATAACTTTGATGTGTCGGGTTGTGTACTGCTGGGAGTCCAAGCAAAGATATGATCTTCCCACCCCTTCGTCTCGAGCACCTCTGAGTTGAATCTTTGTAGAACCACAATCCATTTCTCGGCACGATCGCTCACTTTGGTAACTGAGTTCGGGTCACGAGCGTCCCCCGCCATGTGGAGGTCTTCGGACATGCGAGAGCAGAGCTGGGATAGCCGGCAATGAGCGTGGAAATCTCGAGAAGCTGTGGTAGTCCCGGTTTTGTCGCAGTCGGTCAGGGGATTATGGTCGATGAAAGCGTCGCTTATTGACTACATGTCCATGATGTTAGAAAGTACATATGCACTTCGTCACAATCTCCACTCCTCCAAAATAAGCGACGGCAAAGACTGACAGAAAATTGTCCTGATCGCATTCTAAATGCTTTTTCGATGCAGTATAGGAGCCAGAAGGCTTGTCGAAGTTGATTGATCTCGCTGTCAGTCTGGCATAATTGACGGGTTGCAGCCATGCTGTTGAGTCTCAAGGCCTGAGCGCAGGAGACGCAGAGACCCAACACGCATGAAGTTTGCTCTACCCTGTATTGCATTGTGGCGACAAGCTTCGAAATATGGCTATTAGCCTATACTGTTTCATGTGCTAGTCAATAGAAACTCACCGTCGTGAGTAAAGCCTGTGAGACAATCAGAGCCGGGACGGCATGGGAGTTCGAGGTTACAGATAGGTACCTTGAAGACCAAGATCGACGGCCTGGCAACAAACATCTTCTCCACTGCCAATAAGGCCTCCTGGTAATGTGAATTCCCTCCGGTATCATTGCTAGTTGTCGGGCTGGAGCGACTGCTTTTCGCACAATTGAGATTGCCAATGGCCATGGACGCAAAGACCAGAGCTCTCTTCGCCGGATCTGTGACACCCTCTAAGACAACCTCCTGGTAGAGAGAAGATACTTCAATTTCCGATACATAAATGGCTCCCCTATGTCAAATTAGAAGTAAGCACTCCAAATCTGAAGCCGAGACGTACAGGTATGGCCGAGAAAGAAACGCTACGCGATAGTTAGTCAGTAAAATGCTGAGGGAGAGAGAATCTTGGATCGCTACCTTGGATGAACTGAAAGTGGGTATCGACATGGTGCGAAGGTATGTTCATATCGTCGAACAGACTGAGATATTCATGAGTCGTAAAACACTCCTCAACAACTTCAAGCAGACGTGCGATAAGTTCGGTGGACGTTCCATTGAGGTTTCTCCGTCTGTTTAAGAACAGCTTTACCATATCGAGAGTGAGACTGGGAAGATGGCGCGGGGCTTAAAAATGATTCAGCGAATGTTCTCTCTGAGGAATGTGGCCAAGACCTACAATGTGAAGATGCTTGTAAGGCGACAGTGTGACTAGCCTCGAAGGCATCTAGCTGCTGTGACGATATGTCGAAGTCCACCCAATTTACAGGCGATAGCTCGCAGAAAGCTGCGGACGGATTTGCTGCTTGATCCTGGACATAAGGACCGGATGTCCAAACATTGTCTAGCGTTTCGGTTCCAGGGCTTGTAGTCATATCATTGTTGTTCAATATTCCAATGTTCTCTGCAGAGCTGAACGATCTATCTCCTAGAGAAACCCAGATGTCATCCTGAGGCGCAAAAGAGTGAGAAACCGTGGTATTTTCAAGAAGCTGGTCAATTCCGGAGAGCGATGAAGGAGTGGAAGAACTCGCTGCAAAGATGACGTGGTCCGCTGTCGTCGAAGTCACTATTGAGTGTGACGCATGAGTGTTTAAGTCGTCAAATGATTGTCTTGCTCTAATGGACGAGCTTTGGCCTAAAAGTCGGTTAATCTCGGTAGTCAATGCTGAAGAGGATGGCTGCTTGATACTGCTTTGGCTCGATCGGCCCCTTTTCTTCGGGGTCAAATAAACACAATAAGATGCGGAGGACTATAATCAGTCAGAAAGCTCGACTGCATTCGCAAAGCTACACAGGTAATGCTTACGAGGCACTTTTCGCAGCTTGGCCTGCCTCCATCGCCTAGAATTTGTAAAAAACATCCAAGGTATTCAACGAAGATTCTGAGCAACTTGACGTACACTTTCGCTTTCGGATCTTGCATGTCTCGCATGCGCCAGGCCGGCGCTTATACACTCGCCCTCCTGCTTCAACTGAGTTTGTTGCGGTTGGTGAGGACATGGCATGAGAGCCTGGTTAAAGACGCGTCGGCTCAATTCCTCTTCGCAAAGATCATTAAATCCGAGAATTGCGACGTTGAAATTGAGGGGCTCCGAATGAACTCTTTTGAACCATCCAACGGTCGTATGATGCGGCTGTTGACCTCCGGGCCGTAATACCCGAGTAGGGTCGCTGAGTGCCACTTGCGAGTGACATTCTGGGTCAATCCTATGAAGGAATCCTCGCGGGGCGAATGAAACAAAAGCTCATGGGTCTCGCTCTCGCCTTGCGCGCAACATCACAAGTGCCTTTGGAGGGTGCTGTAAAACCTAGTATTGAATACGTCTTTAGCTAGGTTTATGGATGAAGCAGCCAGTCGGAACTGAGGCCCGTTGTTCTTTGGGAATTCTGCCCTTACCTTGAATAACCTTGAAAGCTTTATGCATCGATGATTCTAAACCCACTAGATCTAGTCAGCGGATGGCTTCTGGACGACACTTGGGACCAAGGAAATGGCGCCCGCATCCCGTCTCGGGGCTAGCCCCACAACCCGCAGTCACTGCGCATATCATTGATGAACAAAATCGATGGTCTGATCATATCAAAGGTTGTCGATCGTCGTGGTTGCTCGCCCACAATACTGTTTCAGCCGAGGGCGCTGTTCACCTGATGCGCCCTCTGTGATCCGCCTCGTCGACGTTGATGAGCATGTAGCTGATCATTTGTAATTTCATCTGCCCAGAGGCCAATGCGGATAATTTCAGACATGGACCAGTTCGGGGATTTACTTCGGCTCCAGCCTCAACCCCATAATTCGGCCGTGAGAGGAGCCGTGATGAACTTTGCTTATTGACAGATCTTATCCAGCTTCACACCGTTCCTCGATTCCCTTAGGTACGCGCAGTTGTTCTGCGTCGCTAAGTAGACTTGACTACGCAACTGTTTGGGTCCAAATTCAAAGTTGCCTGGACCCTGAATGGACTCTGGACAGCTCGGAAGTCCGAGGTTCACGAGATTGGGATGAGTGGCTCTCATGTCAACGTTAATTAACTCAATGGCTGGTGACAGTGTTCAAGCTATTGGCTGAGAGGCAGTGGGTCGACTGACTTGCCGTGTTTTCTATCCGAAAGACCTCAAAACAAAATTAAGCCTCCCGCTGGGATCTGAACCTGGATTCACAATGTCAAAGGTTAAGCTGACTCGGTCGTGGGGTTGGCAACTTTGCACCTTAAAAAGGTCAGTGCAGGAACTAGCATCCTTGTCATGCAACTACCCCTCACCAACAGCTTTTCGTAGAGGACTGATTTTTAAACTTTGACGATTGCTTTGCTTTTGGAAATAAGGTGCCATCGTGGCGTGATCTCATCCTAAGATTATCGCTGTGAACGCCTTTGCTGTGCCAAGATCATCAGCGTTGCTGTCAGAAAAGACGTTGACCATATCAACATCAGCCCTACCTGAGCACCCAACATCTTTAGGTCCCTGATTCAGGAGCTTAGTCTTATCCCGCTCTTCTAAGAAGTTGGACTGAAAGGCCGCGTAAACCCAGTTCCCCCGTCCCTCATTGTGGCCCGCGCGGGGAAGCATTCCGCGGAACATCAGTTCGGTCTGTCCCTTAAGTTTAAGGACTACCCTGCCGGCAGGCAAGCGACCCCACATCAATCTGAAATATCCTGTGAAAGTCGATATTCGACCTCTCGCCAAGACCATACGATAGCTAGCCTTGGGAAAGTGGCCGGTTCACTATGAGGCTATGCCTATCAACGTTCGAGAACACTAGGTGTCTTTCCATTTTGGGGTCAAGTCCGGTCTTGGACCAGGGCTGGTCGTCGCTGGAATTTCCGGTGGTATCGGAAATGTGGTCTTACTTCTTACACTAGCGCTACTAGTGAATTGACGGGCGTCTATTCGTTGGCATTGCGGCCCGGAATTCCCGTATCAATACGTTCTTTAGTTGATACGACTCATGGAACCAGATGCCTTTACCACTCGGATGAATCGCGGCCCATCTTAGCTACGGATGACGATCGGTGTCTGGTGCATTGTCATGATCACATGTTCTTTGTAATCAACCGTGATGTTTGATAATTTCGGCGAAAATTTCTAATATCGTCGTACTACTTGTCTCTGGTGGAAAAGGAATGCGGGAAGAGAACGGAAAAGCAGCAAAAGAAGACCGAAAAGATTTAGAAGGTTGGTCCGTATGATACCTTGGTGGTCATCAACGAAGAGCATCAAGCCCGAGCTGTGCATTGTCTATGTCGCAAACAGCTTTACGGAGTCCCCATCAGCCTGCCGTAGCCGTTGTCTATTGAGCCTCCTGAACAGAAACAAGGTAAAGGGCGCGGATAACATGCACATAACGTAGAGTCCAATACTGCTGCCGAGTCCGACCAAGAGACGTGGGCTGTCAGAATCAGGCCATAGGTAAGCCGTATAAATGTTTGCTGCGACTGCAGAAAAGTTGACAATAGCCACCGTAACAGCTTTCTTTTCGTGGGAGTCAAAGACATTAGCAGCAGCCCAGCCGAGGATAATGCTGCCTGTAGAGTATGAGCCAGCGACGAACAAGAAGCAGGCGACATATCGGGGCGCCACACTTGTGGTTGCACAAGCTACAGCAAAGCCAACCACAGCAAGGGCGTTGCCACCATAAATGTGCCATGCGCGCTCGTCGACCCGTCCAGAGGACCAGGATAGGGCCAGTGCAAACATTGCGGCAAAGACGCATGGGGGTGATGTGAAGACCAGCGTGGTGGTACGATCGTATCCACTGCTGGGTATCAGATAGGTGGACATGATTAGAATGGTGACTTGACACTTACAGGGTCTTGACAATTGTTGGGAAAAATTGATTAAAAGACATGGCTGAAAAATGCATGTTTTGCATGAACACGAACAACCAAACCTTGTAGTCTTTCAAGGCGCTCATCAAGCCTTGGATCGGTGTCTCGTGCTTCAATTGATTCATGCTGTCCTCCTCCAATCGCATCACGCTGCAGGCATTCTCTTCAGCCGTAAGCCAACGGGTCTTGCCAGGTGTATCTGGAAGCAGGAAAATGCCTCCGATCGCCGCTAGGAAGGTTGCCGATCCCTCGATAATAAAGAGCCTGAATGTTGGTTAGCATTAAACCACAATTGCATATCATTGAGTGCTTACCATTGCCAGCTGTGCAGGCTCTCGTTCCGACAAGACCTGCAAAAGTTCCCACAGTGATTAGCCCTGAGAAGGCACTCGAGCTGAGCTGACCACAGTACATGGCCAGGCGCGTCGCGAGCTGAAGTGAGTCAGAGTTTGATCTCTAGAAGGCATAGACAACCTCTCACCTCGGACTTCGTATAAGATCGGCTCAACAAGTAGATGGCGCCTGGGTAAAAAGCGGCTTCGAACCACCCGAGCAAGAACCGCAGAACAAGAAGATGGACATAGTTGTCTGCCATAGCCGTGAACGCGGAAACTATGGCCCAGCCACACATGCAAACACCCATGAACCTTCCGACCTAAAGTATTCGGCCTGGGGACTTTGGGGAAAACATGACCAGTTGGGTAGAAAAACCCTCATCACCGCAGAGGTTACCCGTCAAGTTGCTGTGTCAAACATCCGGACTGGGGGAGTAATCCCTCTAAAGTAGGTTCCCGGTTCGCGAAGTCTGGAAGGCAAGGCTCACAGCATGACAGCTTGCCACTAGATCAACCCCTGCGTCCCATGAATCCGGTACGGGCGAAATTGAAGCACAACGTCATTGTCAAGGACGTTTCCACCGACGATGAGGTCAGCTACATGTACATCGGGCGTCACGAGGACATCTGTCGCTAACCTTTTAGATATGTGTCCACTAACACCCAGGATTCTACTCACTAGGATGGTCCGCGGTATATGCCATACTCAAAGGGCAGAAAATTCTACAGTCATGACACCCAAAACGACATATCGGGACCTTACAACACCACACGCATCGGCATTCAGAGTATGTACAGCGATGCCAATCGCTTGCGAATCTTGAGCTGAGCCTTACAGACCTGGCTGAACGCCCCGTTGCTTCCAGAGGTGTCCTGCTCGACTGGGCGGACTATGCCGCCGAAAAGATTATTTCTTACAATGCATTCGACAGTTTTGAGATCCCCTACACAGATCTGCAGATAATTGCCGACTCACATGACATCAAGTTTCAGGAGGGCGACATTTTGCTCATTCGTAGCGGCTACCAGCTTCAGTATGAGGCGCTCAGCGAGACGGAAAGTGACCAAAACTTCGCAAGCCCATACAGTCCACATGGACAAAATGCCGGTCCCGTTGTCAAGCTCAGTCTATATCACTTGATGGAGATCGACGATCCGACTGACCTAACCATCTTTCCGATCAAGTCATCTACAGTCGGCGCAGGCACCTTTGTGGAGGACGACAACTTTGGCAAGCAGTTCTTCAAAATTGACAACGTTCTGAATATCTCCCCGGAAGAAATCAAGACCAAATCAGTTCCGACCGGTCCTGCTATAATGAGAGACGTGGCAAGCGTTGTGCGGCCCAAAACCAGCGGACCTTTTGAGTTGACGTTTGACAATATGTGTGACGATGAGAACCACTATCAGCGTGTCAAGAGGGCCAATCTTCTTATCAACGAGACCATCAAAAAGTTATATTAGATACAGGGTGAAGATACTGTTGTCAACCTGTATTTCGATCCGGCGCTGGCATGGAAGTGTACTATCAGACGACCATAGGCACAAGAACGTGTAGGTGAGCGCGATACTTTGGGAACCGCACAGCACGCACCATTCTTGTCCGTTGCTGTACCTGCCTTCGCGGCCTAGTTGCTCCCGGTGTAGTCAGATGTATCAAAAAGAAATTCCAATGAGAAGACCCTAAAACCTTGCCGCGATGTTCCACCCAACTGCCAGGACTCGTACGGAGGCGTAGCAGATGAAGGCCAGGATGTAGGAAGCCCCAGAGAACATGATCAAGCCGTTCCAATTCTGGCCGTCCTTCCCCGACTGCAAGATGGCGCCTCCGATGGGGAGACTGCTCAGCGTCCCGAAACTTGCCATCATCATCGCCGTTGACAGATACCGTCCGTAATCTCGCGCATCGCATAGCTGCCCAAGACAAACAGGGACAAGGCCCAAGTTACTGCCACTTGCGAAGCCGAACAAAGCAACGAAGGCGAGAAGCATGGGTTGAGACCCTTTGGACGGCAGCCACAGGCCAAAGACAGTGATGAAACACATGGCAATGGTGATGAGAATGACGTTGAAACGGCCGTACTTGTCGGCAGCAAGGCCTGGTAGGAAACGCCCAATCGCGGAGCCAGCGTTGAGAATCGAGAGGATTGTGTAGGAGTGGACAGTACTCTTCTGTGTGCTCGCTGCGTATGAGATGATGTAGGTGATAGGCACAAAAAGACCCCATTCCATGAAGAAAATGCCGACCGCCGAGAGGGTGAACTTCACATTCCGAAAGACGCTGAAGTCTGGCCAGATGGAAGTTGGTCCGTCCTTCTTCGGAAGTCGAGACCGGATGAACAATGTCGCAGGGATCGTGAGCCCAAGAAGGATGAATCCCAGGATCCTTGCTGTCGGGGCGAAACCGAGTGTCGGAAAGAGATTCTGGAGCAAAATCGGATATACAATTCCGCCAATCGAGCCGGCAGTCGCGGCGACACCAGTTGCAAACCCACGGCGGTTGTCAAAGAAGTGGGCAATAGCGCCATATGATGGGGAGTTGAGCAGAGCGCCGCCCAAACCACCAAGAATTGAGTAGGCAAGTAGAATCTGATAGTACTCTGAGGTTTTGTTGTCAGTACAACCTCATTTCCTTTCTCTTTAGATGATTGCACAAACCTTTACACAGGCTCAGCAATAGAAGACTTGCTGAGATACACAATCCACCGGCAACGACGAGTCCACGGGGGCCATAGGCGTCAAACAATGGCCCGACTTGAATGCCGACGAAGAAGACGATAAAAAGATACAAACTGAAGATCCATCCAATCTCCGAGGGCGAGTGATCTGCCAGCTGATTTTCTGAGAAATACGACTCGAAGACCGCGGCGGAGTTGATGAGACCGAAAACAGAAAGCATAGCGCAGAACGATCCGAACACCACTAGCCACGCACTGAGACCGCCTTCCGGGAAGGTCAGCTCTGTGACACTGGATGCATCCTGGCCTCCATAGTGACTTCTGTCCCTTTCCCTCGATCTTGATCTTTCTTCGTCGTATGACGTTGTCTCTTCGTACCTGATGGCCGATGTCGCCGATGAGCCCGGGTTGTTGAGGTTTCTCAGTAGTATGGAGGAGGTCTCCACCGCTGTTTTTGACATCTTGTGTCTGACGCAGTGCAAGTTGGGCTTAATGGGCCAGGCGAGAGCGGGATTGGTGAAGTGCGTATCGAAAGAAGCGGTAAAGACAGTTGTCCGAGTATCACGGATATTTGCTCAGCTAATGCAGACAGCCCTTTCCGAAATAGTCCGAGATGGGGGTTGCTGAAGATGTCGCTTTGCAGGTGAACTCTTACAAGCAGGGTGAACAACAAAAGCTTGTAAGTGTAAGAAAATGGAGTTCATAAAACTCCGATTTTGAAGTTAGCCCAGTAGTTCACCGGGTCCACCTGCACGTGCTGTTGGTCAATCCAAGAGACGTGAGTCGAGCATTTATCCGGCGAATGGCGGGAGGAATCCATCGGTCTCCGGCTGTCGCTTTATTTTTGCCATTCCCGGCGAACTCGTTACGGCTAGCTTCTCCGCAAGACAACTCCGGAGCGGAGCTCCCAAAGCATGCTGATTGGTGAGAGCGGCGCTCAAGTTGTGTGTCCAGGCTGCAAAGCCGGCTTTATGATGTTGAATTCGAAGTCAGATTTAACGTTTATTGAGAAAGTGTACAACTTCATTCATCATCTTCAAGAAATCCATCTCACAATTACCGGTATGATTCTGCGGTGGAGTGAATTCGCAGAACGACAGCAGCAAGATGGAAGCCCCACATGGTCAAATTTATCAGCTCATCAGCTTCGAGACCTTTGTCCGTCTAAATCCGTACATAACCGATGTGAGCGCAGAGCCCGGGAAATCATCGCCAGCGGAGAACATGTTTGTTGAGCAAAATGTAAGATGCAATTATGATGTTAGCAAATTTTGCGTAATTGCTCTCGCATATGAGTCTGGCTCAACAACTGGGACGGATAGTGAGTGGAGACTTCGACAACGGCAACGGCGACAATACAATACTATAACAATTGGATATCAAGAATATGAAAAAGAAGAACGCAGAAAGAAAAGAACAATAAGCATGTTGAGAGAAGGTACTCGGCAAACCCACTCCAAATAGCCAAGCTTTCGAGTGTATTATACGCTGAAATCACCAACCGACTTCCGAGAAATGCAACTGTTCCATGTCGTATCGCCGGTTCAGGACCGAGGCCGCAATTTTTTTCAACACTTGGAGTGTCATTGCAATGGGTATGTGTCCAGTCTTTGTGACCAAATATAGCTTCTCAGGCTCCAGAGGTGTGCGTGTTGAAGATAGAAAGTTACTTAACACACCTATCAGCACGAATAGCATGGCGAGTTGGCAACAGGCATTGTTTCAGGAAAAGTTAGATAAAGAATAGAAACCCATTTGGGTAGCGCAGAGAAGAGAAGGGGAAAAGCTAAATATGCAATGTCAGGTTGAAATGGTGCACATGAAAGCCACAGGCCCCAAGAACAGCAAACATGGGGAAGCAAGACATAAAAGCACTAGCATCACGAGCAGAGAGCACCCAACTATTGAAGAAGATTCTCAAATTCTGGGTAAACTAGAAAAGAAGTATGTCCGTGAAGAGTCAAAAGTATACTAAAACCAGAGTAAAAGTTTCCCACCCAAAAACTCCAAGCCGATTTAAACCCCCCTTTCATAAAAAAGAACAAAGAAAAAAAGAAGGCATAAGGTATCTATTTCTTGACCTTGAGATCGAAGCGGTCCAGGTTCATGACCTTGTCCCACGCCGCAACGAAGTCCTTGACGAACTTCTCCTTGGCGTCAGACATAGCGTACACCTCGGCAATGGCGCGCAGCTCGGCGTGCGATCCGAACACGAGGTCGGCGCGGGTAGCGGTCCAGCGCTGCTCCTTGGTCTTGCGGTCGGTGCCAACCCAGGCCTCGCCATCGTCGGCGCTCTTGGCCCAGACGGTGGAGATGTCGAGCAGGCTGACGAAGAAGTTGTTGTTGAGCTGGCCCTTGGTCGAGGTCAGGACGCCGGTGTTGGAGCCGTCGAAGACGGCGCCGAGGGAGCGCAGGCCGCCGACGAGGACGGTCAGCTCGGGGGCGGAGAGGGTCAGCTGCGCGGCCTTGTCGACGAGGATCTCCTCGGTGCGCGCGCGGGCGGTGCCGCGGCCGTAGTTGCGGAAGCCGTCGGCCTGGGGCTCGAGGTAGCCGAAGGCGCGGACGTCGGTCTGCTCCTGGGTGGCGTCGACGCGGCCGGCGGAGAAGGGGACGGTGACATCGACGCCGGCGTCCTTGGCGCCCTTCTCGACGGCGACGACACCGCCGAGGACGATCAGGTCAGCGAGGGAGACCTTCTTAGCGCCGGTGTTGAAGCTGGTCTGGATGGCCTTGAGGGCGTCGAGGACCTCCTTGAGCTGAGTAGGATTGTTGGAGACCCAGTTGACCTGGGGCTCGAGGGCGATGCGGGCGCCGTTGGCGCCGCCGCGCTTGTCGGAGTGGCGGTAGGTGGAGGCGGAGGCCCAGGCGACGGAGGCGTACTTGGAGACGTCGAAGCCCGGTGCGGCGAGGATGTCGGCCTTCAGCTTGGAGATGTCGGCATCGTCGATGAGGTCGCCCTCGCGGGCGGGGAGAGGGTCTTGCCAGGGGAAGGTCTCCTTGGGGATCTCAGGGCCGAGGTAGCGGGAGACGGGGCCGAGGTCGCGATGGAGGAGCTTGAACCAGGCCTTGGCGAAGGCGTCGGCGAGCTCGTCGGGGTGGTCGAGCCAGCGCTTGGTGATGTTGAGGTAGCTCGGGTCGTTGATGAGGGCCAGGTCGGAGGTGAGCATGGTCGCCTTGCGGAACTTGGTCGAGTCGAAAGGGTCGGGGTAGTCGAGGGTGCCGTTGGCAGCCTCCCATTGGTGAGCACCGGCGGGAGACTCGACGAGGACCCATTTGTTGTGCAGAAGAGACTCCAAGTAACCGTTGGACCACCTGCAGGTACATGGGTTAGCATTTGTGTGTGTGTGGTTGGGTGTGTGGTGGTATGCATGTGTGCGTATCACTGCATAATCACCCGACGGGGGCCAAAAATAGATTTTCACGCCGCCTCTTTTGCCTCCCTGCAAGTCTCTCTCAACGTCTCTTCAAAGACCTTCTCAAAATGACCGGTCCGGCATATGAGAAAAGGCCTCAAATATTGAGCCAAGAAGAGGGGAAAAGGCAACTTCTACATGGGGGATATGCAGAGGTCATTTCATTTTCATCACTTACTTGGTGGGGGTCTTGGTCCAGACGACCTCCAGACCACTGGTCATCTGGTTGGGACCGTTGCCATCTCCAACCTTGTTGTGCCAGCCAAGACCCATCTCGCCAATGTCAGCAGCTTCGGGCTCCGGGCCAATGTTGTCTGTGGGATTTCAATCGTCAGCAGATGCTCACGGCACAAAGGAGCGGTGAAGCGGTGGG